ACTCATATTTATGACGGTTGCAGTATCCTGGGATCATGTGATCCCCTTTTGAAACATTCTGACAAGCAAAGTTCAATGGGAAAGCCAGATTCACTTAACAACTGTGTTATTAACAACTGCAATGATTCACTTAACAACTGTGGCAAGAAAGGTCGTAAAATGGAGCAAAAATCACTTAACAAACATCTCACTTAGCAACATAAATTTTGGGCTCAATTGTGGTCGTATATCAAAGACTACCTGTATCTATCTGAGACACTTCTGAATATTATCTTGTTCTGGACTTAAATGTTTCAGCTCCTTTTCCCTTGTTAATGATTCCTTAATATTGCTATCTCCCTTACCCTCTATAAGAGGCCGCTAACTAGATTGGGTTGATTCATTTCTACCTATTTTGCAGTGAGGTTTTTTTCCTTATATACACATTGTCTTTTCCTCTTCCCTTTCCTTCAGCCCAGCAAATCTGGTTTCTTTTTTTCTTTGTTTATTTTTATTTTTAAAGAGTTCTCTAATGCACCATAAAGTGGTACTCTGGTTTAGTGATGTGGCTGATCAATATTTCCCCTGCAGAATTCTCTAGAGTGGAGTCAGGAAATAGTGCTGTCACTTTTAATGGCTTCAGAATGGTGCTGTGTGGTCACTCAAGTATCTTTCTAAAACCACAGATGAGTTCAGTATACTCTAGAGTGGGAGTGGCCAGCTTCAATCCCTGGTCCTCATACAGGTCTCTATTCTAATTTGTGATACCCAAGAACTCTGAAATCACACTACTGAAATTCTGCAGAAAAAAAATATGCAATTTTTCACTACATAATTTTTAGCTTTTTAAATAAAAATTAGACTGAAAATATTATTTATTTATTAAACAATTTTATATAGCTGGCCAACTCACACACAGTGAATGCGGGTGGCGTATGACATTCAATATCCAGTTAAAAATTCATGACTTAAACCCCCTCCTCACACCCCACCCCATGGCATAAAAACAGAATCAAGCAAGCCACTTGATTGGCTCTGAATAGGGTCACCAGGCTCACTGAGAGAACCATGTCTTCAAGGCCTTGTAGAAAAGCAACAAGATGGAGGCCAATCTTATTTCTGGAGAAATGATTTTGAAAGGGAGGGAGCTACCATAGAGAAGGCCCTTTTCCTAGTCCCACCAGATGTGCTTCCTTGATAGTTGAGATCAGCAACATGTTCTGCTTTCCTGGTGGACCCTGTAGATGTATTTGGGGAGAAGCAGTCTGTCAAATAGATGTGAGACAAATGTCCATTATTAGTCTTTGAGACTGCCATTAAGGCGAAAAGAAAAAAACAATGAATTCAAAATGTTTTGCACTCACATCATTTAGATGATGTCTCTCTGTCACAAGTACAATCACCAGTGGCATTCAAAAAGTAAAATTTGCAAAAAGATGACTCCAGGCAAATAGGTTCTCCCTTTGCTCTGGAAACACTGAGAAATCAAAGAAATGGTAACCCCATTTTCTACAAATGGGATTACTACAGGACTTTGGAAATAGATGATCATAGAAGTGACAACTGAAAGTCTTTTGTTTGGAACTCAAAGTTCTTTTATGAAGAACTTTTGCTTAACTCTTACTTTGAAAGTCTGTTTAGTTTAGTATAAAGTTAGTAGTGTAAATGCTAATATCATTGTTGATTTTTTTCCTACAAAACATTCTCTCAACAAATTTTAAGCTTAAAATTTTAAGTTTATGGACCTTTTCTATAACATCTTTGTATTAGTGATTAGATGGAAATTAATTCCATCTAATAAATTCCATCTTTTCTAAAAGTGCATTGGTTGAGAGCTGTCTTTTTCTTTTCTTCTTTTGTCCCCTTTAGCATTCGATCTCCTCCCAAAGGGGTAAGTAGTTTATAATAAACAAAGATTGTGTGAATGCCACATTACGGGGATTAAAGCCTTACAATTTTGGAACAGGGTGTTAAAAGTGCAGTATTGCAAGCAAACTCTGCCCGCAGAATTTCCATTCTTACAAGGCTCAAGGTTGACAGCCTTCTACCCAGTGGTGGGATTCAAATATGTGAACAACTGGTTCTCTGCGGAAACCCATTCTGAGCCTGGGCAACAAAAAATTAGCTACCGGTTCTGCTGAACTGGTGTGAACTGGCTGAATCCCACCACTGCTTCTATCCTTCAGAGTTTGGTAAAATAAGAACCCAGATTGTTGGGGGCAATATGCAAATAATGCTTACTTTGTAAACTGCCCAGAGAATGCTGTAAAAAGTACTATGGGGGCGGTATATAGGTTTAAATGCTATTGCTATCAGGTTCATTGCATGACTGTTGAATAGCCTTAGGTTCTGCACAGCAGCAGCATCTGTTGGATGATCGGTATCAGCACCACTAAAGTTATGGCATCATTAAACAAGACTTTGAAAAAATAGCTATGGGTGCCACCTTGGTTGTTTTAACTCTTATTCCATGTACACCTCCCAACTCCTTGAGAATCCAGTGAATCCATCGCTTGAAAAGCTGTCACCAGGAAGACCGTGTGGGTTTTTTCTCTCTATGGCCCGAGGGTAGGACAAGAATCCATGAGCAAAGCTTTCCAGGGAGAGATCTAACTCAAAATAAGAAGTGATTTCCCAACTGTAAGAGATATTAAACAATGGAACAGCCACTGCTTCTTGGAATCCAATGCTTATCCAGTGTTTCTTGGAGTCATGAGTTCCATCCGTGGAGGTTTTCAAACAAACAGTTGGACAGCCATTTGTCTGAGATGGTTAAGGATTGCTGCCCTAGGCAGAGGGCCAGGGAGAGATTAACAGACCTCCCTCTCCCCCATCTTTCTATGAATCCCTCTTCTCCATTTTTTTGCACTATTAACTGGAAGGAGGAGGCCTGTGTTGCTATGCTTTGGTTGGTCCCCCCACCCAATCATCCCATAAGCTACAGTACATCGTTCTACAATTTGGCATTAATAAAAGCAATAAATAACAGTCAACACCAAAAATAAAAATAACTCCCAATGAAACATGACAAAATGAATTGTTGAACAAGCCTCACAAGCTTATGTCATCAGAATAAGTAAAAAATACAGAATAAAATGGCTGTTACAGTCTGGTAAAGTACTTGTCTTGCTCTTTGTGCCCTATTTTTTTAGGCCTGTCATGGAGGTGCCATGTGACAACCCTTTTTCTGAAGAACAAGCTTGGCTCTATTTCAGAGACATTGTCTTGGGCATTGAGTACTGTGAGTATAAAGCAACAGAGTTGTTATTGTCTTTGATGGGTTCTTTTTCCTTTGATGTCCCTCTTTTCTTTCTACTTAAATGATCCTCTAGCAAACGAATCATAATTCATTCATATATTTTAACACATTTTCAAAAACATTTTCTTTTTTTTTCTTTTTTTAATTATTATTTTTTTTAATATTTTTATTTTCTTTTTTTCCACCATACACCATACACCAAGACAGACTTAAAATACATAAACATAAATCTTTTCTTTTAACAGAACAGTGTTGTACATTTTAACCATTATTTACATCTTATTTACAT